GAATCATATTGTTGTAGATGGTTTTTATGTTTGGTTTGGGAGATTGTAAATGATGTTTTACTTTTGATGGTTATTTTAAATTTGGTTTTACGAGTTACGTTTTTAAGGTTGAATGCAAGTCAGATAAAGAGGGCTGGACCTATAAAAGTCTTTATTTTGATTTTTTTTTGTAAAATTGACATAAAAGGTCCTGATACTACTATCCTTAAGTATTTTTGTTTAATTTGGTATTAAAAAGTGTATGCAGTACTAACATGTTTTCAATATCATTAGATATTTTTTTCTATAAAACCATGTATTAGGTTGTTCAAATGATTCTGTGCCTCCTCTCAAAGCAAATCTTTGAGGATAGAGGGCACAGAATTATGTGAACAACTTAATAGAAGCTAAAGTGGTATAACGTTTGAGTATAGCCATGAAATTAAACTTATAATCTTAATTTTTCTTTTATATTTTCAAAATTTAAAGCCACGCCCACTGAGTGTAATATAAGTTTTTGTGACCTAAAAATTTAGTACTATTAGGTTGTTTAACTAATTCTGCGCTTCTTACCCACGAAAACTTGCTTTAACAGAGAGCACACAATTATTTGAACGACCTGATATTAATAACCTTTATATTGTAGTAGAGTAAATCAAAGCCAACAGTCTTTTAAATGCCCAGCCCTAAAATGCCAAATCAAGCCCTGAGGATGTTTTCAAAGTATCATATTTTAAAGTACAGTGTTTTGAAATGTAACATTCTATCCTTTCATTTACAATTAATATGACAAAGCAAAGAGGATTTAGGAGATTAGCGTTCGAAAAACGACCATTTTTGTGCCAATTTTTGCAATTCTCAAAATTGCATGCTAAAAAAATGTTATATAGGGCTTCTGGAGTTGTTGTAGATGGTCTTTTTTGTCTTAACTTGAGGAACATGGTCTTATTGGTCTTTTGGATATTGCAGTAGGAGTTTATTTGCGTTTCAGCGGGCAGTTTTGTAAAAGAGATTGGTAGATAAAAGGAGGGTAAATTTGTCATTTTTTAAATTTTAGAAGTTAATAAGGCAACTTAAAAAAATTTTAAAATTGATATTTTTGAAAATCTAGCTAAAATGAACTCTCCTAGCCAAAAACTTTTGTTTGAGTCATTTATAATCAAACCCACAGCTACAACATTCATAATATCATGCATTGTAGTTGCCCCTTTAACGTGAAAAGATTGTCAGTCCAAAAATAATTTCAAAAGCGGCCAAATCGAACAAAATATCACGGTTTTAAGCGAGACGGCGGAGAAAAACGAGGACAACAGTTCAAATCAAGATTCGTCTTGCAGTCAGCTGGTGGAGCCTTCCCTCCTATCGCCTGCGGGTGTTCAGTCCCTTATTATTTATATCATTCTTAATTCTCAGCCATTTTTTGTGTTTGATTACAGTTCGTTTTGTCATATATGGACCAATATTGATTGTCATTGCCTTGAATTGATATGGTCTTGTCATTAGAGCAAGATTTCTTGGCGTTGATAGCTAGCAAGTGGGCGGAGCATAAATTGTGGTTGAACTATCTTGAAATGACCTTTATCTGTGGAACACGAGGTTGTTTACAAAACACCATGATGTTATTTTCTCGTACATCATTAACCTTTGTGTGCTTTAATTCGCGAAACAGCCTGGGCTCTATTACCAGCTTTGGAGGGTTTGGATTGTTTGGGGAACTTTGTATTGTACGTTTGGGTTAGTTTATATCTTCAGTGTTATATCTTTGCAATTTTATGTCGTCAAAGCGTCATAACTTCTAAAATATACATTGAAATCTTAAAATACTATTCTAGTATAGTACAGAAAACTTTTTGTAGTATTTCTTAATAGTATGAAGCTCTCTTTATAATGACAGATTTCTGCCCACCCTTTCTAATAGGACTCCTATCAAAAAGTACCTAGATATTGTGACACTCTAGTTATAATGGCAATTTAGTCCAGTCCCTTGAGTGTCATACTAAAAAGGTTTAACTGTAGTTTTTAGAAGTTTGTATAACCTTATTATTATGAGCTATTTCAAGAAACGACAGAAATTTTTATTAGTTCATCCTAATATTTGAACAATCTAAGAACTTCTTCTGTAGTTAACATGTTGATTATAACTTCAGTTTTCGTACAACAAGGATAACTATAATATGTATGCATCGTTTATGACGTCATGTTTTTCTAACACCTATTATAAAGGGGATAATTATGGTAAACCTCTATTGTAATATCTTTTTATCTTCTAGACAATCTCTATTTATTAATTTTAATATAAATATGGGTTTTTAAAAGACTAATGTTTATTTATAAACCCTTTATTTACAACATGGGTTTTTACAATTTTGTTTTTAACATTTTACAGTGTATTCTTCGTTGCATCCAAGGCAAAAAATTATTTCATATTGCCTACAAACATTATTTTCTTTAGCAAACTTGTTTTTTTTGACAATCAGACTAGTCCAGCTATTATTGACCTTTTACTATGTTGCCCAATTTAGCTTGTACGAGGAATTCCTAGCTCATGTTGGCATTTTAAATTATTAACTCATAGTTTGTAAAAACTGATAGAAATTCCCTTCTTATTCTTAACAAAGTAACTTTTAAAAGTAAAGTGACAAAACATTAATAAGCATGACCTTTTCTCGCGGATCTAACTCGGTCTGTAAAAGTTATGTCACCGAATAGCCTTTATCTGATTTTAATTAGAAGTATCTTTTGACAAATTAGCTAGATTGGTCAATAATTTTGTAGTATAGGGTCAAAAAGTTTGTGGAATAGAACTGTTTCACTTTTTTTAAATTTTAATTAATTTTTTAAATTTTTTGTGTTTATAAGGATATTTGTCTTATAATTGTACTTTGTTTCATAGATATTGTTGTATTTATTACCTCCAGCTCTACCCCCCCCACTTTAATAAGGCGGTGTTTGTCCCCATTATCTGTCCCCAAAACCGTGTTAAAACCGCGTTCTAATCACTGTCTCTCCCCGCCCCTGTCCGCTCTCTCCATTCCCTGTACTCTACAATCCCTTCATATTTTTTGTAGATCAATCGCGGACCTTTGGGTAGTGTGTGCTGCTCGAGGTCCCGCCCTCTCACCCCAAAAAGGTTTCGGAAAGGCGTCGACCTAATGCCCATCGCCCGGCTTCCACCACCCGATTCCAATCGCCTCCCATTTGTTTTCGAAAACTGTTTTATATCCGTGGACTGTTGGGGCCGGGGTGCTGTTTTTAGTTGTTTTTCTGATTGGGGTAGATTTTGAAGACTTTGGAATGGTCGGAGAAGAGGGAGGTGTTTTTTGGCTACGTGGTTGTCTTGCGTATCGATTGATATTTGATCGCTCTGAAAATTGCTCTAGTTTTTGGGGGTTTTGCTTGGGAGGGGAGGGGGTAGGAGAGGGGATGCAAAGGTATGTAAAAAGCAAGGATTTACAAATTTTTTTCTACTAAAATCAGATTTAAAAACATTGAAATTTGGCAATGGCCACAGGGATCTTTTTTAAAATTTTCGGGGAATTTTGATGTTTTTTTTGCAAAGCTGTCTTTTAATAATTTTTTCGCATCACAATCAATAAAACTATCATTCCTAGGCTTGGTAACCCTATATTAACCGACTTTTTGATATTCTTCAACATTTTTTCCATTATTATTTCTTCTTTTGCATTTTTTTCTTTATTTTTTTTAAAATTTTGGGCCGTTTTTATTAAGTTATTTTAAAAATTCTTGTAAAAGTTAACTTTAAAGTTTTATTTTCTATTATGAACTAATTATAATTTACCTTTATATCTCCAAAGAACAGCTACATCACCCTGCTAAACCTTACTATAAAGCTCTGTCAGCTTCTTCTAGCCAAGTATCTTCAAAGAAAAGAAAATTTACCCAGCCATTCCATTCTACAAAGCTCTATGAGTTTACTTTAGCCTATTACAGTAAGACCTCTTTAGTATAACTTTTGATAGTGTGATACTTTTTTTATAATGACAGCTTTATGACTGCAATTTGTAACAAAACTTTTATCATAAAGTACCTGGGTAGTGTGACACCCTGTTATATAAAGATTGGTGTCATACTAATGAGGTTGAACTGTTCCTTCAATTTTAGCTAATTTACCGACTTTTTCAGTACAAAAAGCCTTAAACTTAACCCTGCCAATCATTCTATCAATCCCTATGAGTTTAGTCTCGCCTAATACCTTCAGTTTTGTCTTAATTTATCCCACTTTTCAAGCTCATAAACCCCTCCAAGCCTACCCTTCCCAATCACTCAAAAAACCTCCAACTCGCTTCCTTAACACCTTATCAGTCGGGGGGTTTACCAGTTGGCCATTCATTCCCCCATGAAGAGTCCACTTTTCGAAGCGTTTTTCGAATCGATCGGTCCTCCCCTCCCCTTTTAACCAAAGGCTGCTTTCTCTTGTTTTTTTTTATTTTGATTCATTTTCTGTCAAAAATCGGAACACATGAAAGTTTTTGGGGCTGGGAGGGGGGGGGGAGCTCGTTTAAATGCGTGAACGTGTGGCGAGCAACACACACTTTGTTTCCGTTTTTACAGTCGATTTTGGGGTGAGGGCTGGTGTTAAGGCGGGCGTTCGGCTATTTTCCCGGAATTTTGGATGAAAGGTGGTAATTTCGATAGGTTTTTGAAATAGGGGGTGGTTTTGAAGTTACGTTTACAATATTTTTTCCTTTGTCGTCTGAAGTTAATCAAAAAAGCGAATAAGGAGGAGATTCACGCCCCAGGCCAAGCTGAATTCACTGCCGCTCCTTTTCGGTTGTTCAATTAATTCTGTGCCCCTCCTAAACCAATTTGTTGAAGAGTGGGCACAACACTATTAGAACAACGTAATCAATTGGCACCGAATCCATTCCCTCCCTCATAAAAATGAAAAAATTACAATGCCCATGTCAAAAAATGCCATTTTTCAAAATCCCCACCTATTTTTGTCGCGAACTCTCGATTTCAAACCCAGAAATCAAAAAACTGATCTGCAGCATTTCAGAATGTCGTCGGACGATGGTGGTGACCTTGTAATCGCAGAAGAAGCGGAAGAATCCACAACAGAGCCTTCTCATCATTCTACTGAACCTTTAAAGGTTACAACAACATCGAAAGCGTTGAATAATGGCCATAATGGTCATTTGGATGGACTAATGGCTTCTCCATTACCTGCTCTACAAACATTACCTTCAACTTCAAAACTGCCTAGTCCATCAGTTCTGAAACATCCTAGTCCAGCTGACAAAAAGCCAAATAGCCCAGCTGTCAAGCAAAGTAGTCCAAATGTTAGTAAACAAGGCGTGACAGGAGGTAACAAGCAAGGTAGTCCGGCTGTCAATAAGCAGCCAAGTCCAAGCGTACCAAAGGCTAGTCCAGGACAAAACCATTTGGCTAGCCCTAATTTAATTGGCCAGAAAAGCCCCGGAGTACCACAAGTTAGCCCACAAGCACTACTTAACTCATCAGTACCATCAAGCTCTCAAGGAGTACCACAAACAGTACCACAAACTACTTTAGTAGTACCAACGAACACTGCCGGAGTACCATCCACCTCATTAGGAGTACCACAGAATCCACTGGGAGTACCTTCAAGCTCTAATTCAGTACCTCAAGGACTTTCAGGAATACCATCCGGCTCTGTTCCAAGTACCAGTGCACAACCTGGTCCCTCGCCCAAGCCTGGTCCTTCGAATGCCGAACCAACCGAAAAGGCAAAGCCAAAAGCAAAACCGAAGACAAATGCACAACAAACGTTTGACTTTGACTATGATGGCCCACCAGTGTCCGTTTCCAATGCTATGGCATTGGAGCTGGTCAACAGGTTCGGGTTGAACAATGCTTGGGGTAAGTTGAAGTTCAGTTTTTATGTTTGAAGCCTAGGTATGATACAGAATGGCAGGTAGAATTTGTATAAAATTGATCAAATAATTCTGAGCCCCTTAACCACAAAAAGTTGCTTATATAGGGGCCCAAGATTTATTGAACAACCTAATATAATCTTTTTTGTGAAACGGTCCCCCTCTGGACTTTTAAAAATTAAAAACACAATTTTTCCCTATCTTCATGTATACAGTACCATACTATACCACAATCCCTAACAATAAACTTTCCAGGCGCCTTCCTAAAGCTACGAGGCTACAAAACCCTGTACGATAAGTCAGTCCCTCAACCTCCCGAGCATGTTCAAGCTTTGAAGCGATTCAGACGAAAAATCAGAAATGTGAGAGAGACCTTTAATCAATGTAGAGATGAAGGACAAGATACTGACCCATTTATGACCAGAGACTTTGTTATTGAATTGAAAGGAAATGGAGGAGATGAGAAGCCAGACAGTCCAGCTCCAATCAAAAGAAAGGCTAATGGAAAGGCTGGGGATCAGCATGAAGAAGGTGCTCCAGAATCCGCTTTGAAGCCTAATGGTGACAGTTCTAACTTATCAATCCCAACTGATCCTACTCCACCTGCCAAAAGACAACGAAAGTCTAAAAAAGATGCCAAAAAAGGTAAGATTATTTTCGTTTTTAAAACATTTTATGGTTTAATTTGCACCTAAAACAATATAAGCTGTATCAAAAAATTGTTTTCTAATTATTCTAAAGCCCAAAATACCAAACAAACTTCCAAAAATGAAAATTTCCCTTCAGAACCCCAAGTACCAACAACAGCCCCATTAACAATAGGAATATCGCCTCAGGTCACAAGTTCAGGGCCATCTTCAGATGGTCTTTTGAACAAACGAATCGACGAAATTATGACAAATGTCATGGAAAAAGCCAAGTCCATTCCTAGTAACGTACCGGCAGCCACGAGTGCTCCAGTCAACTCAACTGTAGCTATTAACGTTACGCCAGTCGTTACTCAAAAGCCAGGTAAGTTAGTTGATAAGGGTTTAGCTGTAGGATCAACAATTCAAATTCTCAAATTCTAGTGTTGTATAAAAAATAATGAGCTACTAAACCGTTGTGTAAAAAATAATGAGCTACTGAACCACTAAATATCGCTATGAGATATGACTCATTACTTTTTATACAACCTATATATAATAAAAAGAAAAAAACTTAGTATAAGGACATTATTTTTGTTACTACATAGATATATCTACTGCAGTAGCTACTATAATATGCCAAAAATTAAAAACTGACAAAATTCGTTCCAGAACCTCCGAAACCAACGACAATCCTAACACCAGCTCAGCCTGTACAACTGAATGCAACCCAATTACCTCAATTGTCAATGGATCAACTACACGATCTGTATCGACAGAATTCAGGTCTATTTGCCAGCCTGCCACAGACTTCGTTCCCAATCCAAAACCTCTTAACTACTACGACACTGAACCCAACTTCGAGGGTAAGTTAATATTAATAAGTTAACGTCTTTAAAATATACAATTTTTGCTCAAATTTAAAAATTAGGCCATTCTTTACCTAACATACTATCCAAACTCACCTTGTCTTTTCAGGCGCCTCAACCAATGATGTCCCCGGCCGCTTCCCTAGCCATCAATCCCCAGAATCACAACCGATTCTTCTTCCAAAACGCTCCAAATGCCCACTTCATCGACCCCAACACCACCCAAATGTTTCTACCACCCACACCCCAGCCCACGCCCGCTCTCAACGGCCATCCCTTCCCATTCGCATCGACCGGTCTTGGCACCGCATCGCTGATTCGTGCTCTACAAGTACCTCAAACCCATCAACTCCACACCGTACCCATCACAAACTGGGCTCAACCTATTCAACCGGTCGTTTCTCATCATGAAATTCGAGAAGTCAAGAAGGCAGATGGAGTACAAGTTAGTCAGATATCTACAGTACCGGCTAGTACAGCTACCACTTCTTCCGAGAGTACTAGTGCGGAGATAAAGAAGTCTGAAAAAGATACAAAGTCAGAAACTGCATCCTCGAGCAAAGAAAAGACAAAAGAGGACGACAAGGCTTCTGAATCTGTTAAAGAAAACGTTAAAGTTTCAAAAGACAATCAGAAGGATACGAAGAACAACCAAAAAGATGCCAAAGATAACAAAAGTCAGAAAGATCAAAAAGAAAAGACAAAAGAAGAGTCAGAACAGGAAGTCGAGGTGGATTCAGAAGTGGAAACAAAGACAAAACCAGGTCGAAAATCGAATGCCAAAAAGAGTAAAGAAGAAGATAAAAAGAGTCAAGATCTTCTGAAAAAGGTAGAAGATCTAGAAGAACGGCTTCAGGAGCTAGAAGAGTCATTAACGGCCGAGAAGACCAAGTTTACAGCTCAGAAAAAGCGAATGGACGGAATGAGGGATAAGATGAAGAAGAAAGAAGACGAACTCCAGACGGCCAAGATCGACTACGCTTGTCAGAAGGCGGATAACACGACGCTCAGGGATCAGATGGAGAAGTTGAGGTACGTTTTTGTTTTCAGATCAAATAAATTGTGGCAGAAAATCGCTGAAAGCTAGTACGTGTCAAGTCTTTCTTTCTCTTTTGCCAAGTTTTTTCTTATTATAGTCTATTTATAGCCTACAAAACCTTGAAAACTAAGAAGCCCAGGTCTTTTTACACCATTAATGATAACGCTAGGTTGTTTTACATCATTTTTCATAATTCTCGCAAGACCTATGTTAATATTCACACTTTCAGACAAGAAAACGAATCCCTAAAGACCCGCCTCGCCCAATACGAAAAGTCTGATGAACAAGAAGATCCTCAAGAATCAGATCGTAACTCAAAAAGCCCTAGTCCAGCTGTAAAACGAAGAGGTCGACGTCAAACTACGCGCCTCGACCCTTCACCTTCAGTCCCATCCCGAGCTGGAAGTCGACGAGCTTCAACTCCAGTAAAGAAGCCGGCTCCACGAAAGCGGAAAGCCGATGCCAATGAATCTGCCAGCTCTGTAGCCAACGAAGAAGAGAGTGAAGATGGCAACAGAAGGCAGAGTAAAAGGATCTCTGCTGCTAGGTCAAAGCTATTGTCTTCTACCATGATGTAAATCTGTTTACCATGGTATTATGTTGTTCAAGTAATTCTGTGCCCCTAACCCCGAAAATTTTTTTTGATGGGAGGCACAGAACTATGTGAACAAACTAATAAAATCGACTTCTATCATGATTTTGATGCCAATTCTCCGTGAAAAATTATTTTGCTGATATCAGGCCTTATGAAGAAGACTATTAGTACAAGTTGAAACTAAAACGTCACATTTACATTCTTCATCCACTAGACATACCTTACACGCCTACTAACATATTTTACCTTATAGTTCTATGCTGCTGACTAATACCATCCCCAAAAGTTCTCAGACAATCGAAATGACAAGAGTTTAGCTTAAATTAAAAAAAAATTATGGCATTTCCATAAACTTTCAATAACCAAACCAAAGTTTCTTACCTATCCGAGAACTTTTGAACCCCCATGTTGTGATATCCTCTGTAGACTGAATGTAGAAAGCTTTTGGCGTCTAGAAGTTATTTATTAATGTATTCCTCTCACATATTAATGCAGTTAGGTATTCGTTTCAAAATCTAACACCAAAACGGGTAAATCTTTTATATTTCTGTGTTTAATTCGCCAATAAACAATAAAAACAACAATAATATGAGAAGTTGGAGGATAAATTAACAAAAACTATAAAACTTAAGTTTCAGAGACTTGGGAAATCTTTAAAAACAACAAAAAAAAAGTTTAAAAATCCCAAAATTATTTAAAAAAGCTCATAAAAAGGTTTTAAAAGTATAAATCGCCAAAATATGCTAACTACTAGAAGATAAAGGTAAAACGACTTGGAAAATAACGTAAATCAGTAAAAGAAGAGATCTGATTATGTGAAGTCAAAGTAGAAGGTATCGTGGGCATTAAAAGTTTATGAACTATGTTCAAAACCTTAAACTTGACGTTATGGAACCAAGAACAACTTCAAGATGTATAAAACCTTTTGAAACAACTCAAACTAAATAAATTAATCTTCATCCTTATCAATGAGCATGTTTGGAATACCTTCTTTAATTTTAAACGTCCTCCCACTTTCTGGACACTCCATTTCTCCATCAATAATCTCATAACCCAATGCCAATTCAGCGGCCTAAACAATGAACAATATAAATGAATGTTTTCACCTACCTTCTTCAAGAAATCGTGATCTTCTTTCCAATTCTCGGGCAATTCTGCTGGTAATTCGCTGATATCAATACCAATACTATTGGCAGTTTGTAGCAGTACGGAATACTGCATTTTAGGTAACAACTTGACCATCATCACTGGATCGAATTCAAAGTCTTTCTTCTAAAAAATTAAGTCATAACTATCAATAAAAGATCAATCAGAAGTTTAATAAAAGTATTAGTACCTAAAAAAAGAAATTTAAAGAAGCTCTTACCTCAGTGACATTGACTGTCAACTTCAATGGATATCCTTCCTTGACACCCTTGATAAACTGAGAAGACAAAAAGTTGTGTGTAAGAAGCTTCATACTAGTAAAAGTGATATAGTAATATCAAATTACTACAAAAACAAATATAAATTGAAAAGAAATACCTAAAATATATAAATTTTTCTTTTTCTAAAAAATTATTGGCATTCCGATGCAAGCGTTTAGCGCTTGTTTGTTTTCGTTGCAAGACTTGACTTTAATTCACGTTTTTCTTATTTTAGAAAATTTATAAGTGTAATTTGCACTTTTATGTTGAAAAGCAAATTTAATTTATGTATTCGACATTGCTAATGGCATTAATCAAGATAATATGTGTGTGAGCTCGTAAAAGTCAAATAAACAGACTAAATGAAGCGAGCAGATGTGCCAAATAGGAAGTATCTCAAATTTTGGAGCGCGAGAACGTATCTATCTTCGTTCGGACATCTCTTGTTGATCCCTAATCCAATAAGCACTGAACTTTCGGACCGAGTACTTGAGTCAATTATGGTTATTGTGAGCAGTGACCGCAAATTTGAATATGAAGAAGGTCTGGATTGGAGAAGTTGGGGTTGAGTTTGAGGTTTTGGTCAGAACTTGGTGGGTTGTTGTGTGGTTTGGATGAAACTTGGTGTAGATATATTTTATACTATCTAGTATTAGTGTGTATAGTTAAAGGTCTTCAATTTGAAATTTTTAAAATAATTTTGCAAATTTGAGGTCAAGTGTAATATTTTGGTCAGAAATTCGTGGGTTGTTTTCCGATTTGACTGATATATAAGATAAACGTTCCTTATACTACATATATAGTATTTCTGCGCAAAGTTAGACCTTTTAAGATGAAGTTTTACTTTTAAAATTCTGCTGTAAACTTTTACGTTTTTCTACATTTTATACCTAAAATAGCACTTGAACTTTGGCTATTTGAATATTTTCGAATTCTCCTTGAGTTTCCTAATCAAATTCGAAATGCGTTGTCCTGAGGGCTCTTGTTTTGTATGTGTTTTCAACAAAAAAAGTTTGAAAGAGCTTCTCGCGCAAGCAACACTTGTGTCCTGAAGTATCTAGTCGAATATATTCAAGGGCCGATTGTAAACATGCCAGTAATTCGATCTGCTCTTTATGCAAATGCGGCCGTTTTGACAGGTGAAAAAAGGAATGGCGCCGCGCATTTTTTGACTCGAAACTGGATAGGATGGGCTGAAATAAGGTTGTTAAAGGCGTGGGGGATGGCTTCAGGGCCGGGCGCGAGGGGGGGGGGTACCCCCCCCCAGAAAAAAATTTTCGAAAAAATTTGAACGTGGTTCCCTCTGTGGATTTTTTGGACCCCTGCCCCCAGACCAAAGTCCCCGCCCGGCCCTGGATGGCTTGTTAAGAATACTCAGTATAGCCGGGGGGGGGGAGAAGGTGGTTGGAAAAGGCGAGTTGTGGCAGGTGAAAGATTTTCATAAGATAAGGTTTTGTATCGAACAAAATTTCATTTATAAAATTGGTTTTTCGCTTTTCAAATGAACACTTTCAGCCATTTCTTACCTTAATATAGGTACCTAACGAGCTATTTCTTACCTTGATATAAGTACCTAAAGAGCTATTTCTTACCTTGACATTGGTACCTAAACCTTTTACAAGTGCCCATTTCTAAAAAGGAAGCCGAAATTAATTTCGGTAATTAATAGGGCATTGTAATCCGCCCTTGTGACGAGTGTGTCATCACATAATAATATAACTCGTCACCGATCCGAGGCCTTCGCTTAAGCTCGTGGGAGGGTGGGGTCCCTATTTGAAAAGGTCAGACCGCGGCAAGTTTTTTGGGCGGATTTACTCGAAATTTAGGGTTTTCTGGATATTATAGTTTGCATCGGATCTATGGGTATCGACATTGTTGTTTTTTGGGGGAAAAAGTTGTTTTTGGTTTGCATTTTTTGGTGATTTAGGGGGTGGTTTTGAATTTTTTTTAGTTTTTAGATGTTATAAGGGAAAGGTTTCATTAGATATGATGTTATGTCTCAAAGTGTCAAAACTTAAATTTTTCTTAAAATCCGAAATTTGCATAGTTCCAAATTTTTTTTTAAATTAAAAAAAATTTGCATAAAATTCAAAACCACCCTCAACTTGCCTTCTGGCATTGTCTCAATTCCCTATTTATGACATTTCAAAGCAAGGCGGCTTTAAGGCAAAGAATTATTGCGCGAAATGTCGCGCCATGACAAATTATCCGGGGTGGGCTCGTCTTTTATGCATTCGGTGCCAAAAGGTTTCGCCCAAAGATTGGGCAGCTGATCGAGTTTATTCTCGAGTTAATTATTAGTTTCAAAGGGCGGAGGGGAGATTGTTTAGGGATGGGTGGGCGCTCGGTCGATCAATTTAGATTATAATATGCAAAATCGAAAATTCTTTGCTTTATGGGAAATGGGCCGTTTTTTTCAGTTATTAGGGGTGGGATGGGTTAAAAATTGCAATATATGACATTTTTTTAATAGAAGGATACTGTAGCTATATAAAATCAGTTTGTTGGGCAGGTATTTTTTGTTTCTTCGAATGGGTAGGGGTGAGAAACGGGCCAAGCCGGACCCACTTTTGAGGTACTGGTTCGGGGCTAAACGTTTAAGCCTGGGCCGCTTTTTAAAATTTTTTTTCTCAGGCTGCCCCGGCCCGGTCAAAAAATGTCTAGCACCAGCCTGCTTTTTTTGAGCTTGGGCCCACATTTCAAGCCAACAAGCCGGGCCTTTAGATTCAACTTGTTTCAACTTTAGTTCAGGGCCGGCCCTACCCACCTTTACGGCCCATTCTCACCCTTAGGCATGGGGGTGGTTTTGGAATATTTTAATATTACTGTTAGGAGCTATGTCATAAAGTATGCAGCTAATGCGAGGTGAAATTTCGATACGTAGCTAGGGCGGGGTAAAGTTTTGTCTTTTAAGAGAGGGGGGGGGGGGAGAAAAGTTTATTGGAAAATTCAGGGGAAGGGGAGAATTTAAATTTTTCATAAGAAAAAATTTTGGATGTGCATACATTTCCTTTTTTTCTACCCTTTACCACGCCCCACCCTCTCAACTCAAACTTAAGCCTATGTTCTCTCAGAATCCTTGATTACAATTCTCAGCCAAAAATCTATCCGCCTGACTGAAAAACAGGATTTTTATTTGTATTTTAATCCAATTTCGGTTTTGCATATCCGTTTCCTTGTCTCCGAAGCGAAGCCCTCCGGCCCTCGAGAGGATTCTGAAACTTTTGACTTGAGGCGAAAGAGTTCCGAATTTGCATAAGCGCTAAACGTCGCCTTCATTAGCCGGACCATCTTCGAGCTCATTTGTGGGCATGGGATTGGAGGCGACGGATGAGGGGCCACTAAGTGGTCTCGGCCAATTGCTAGGGTTCAACAGATGGGGGAGTGGGTGAAGGGAGGGGGAACGGGTGGGGAGGGTTTGTAACTTCATCGAGGGATGGGTTTTTATATTTTTTGAAGTTGGTGGGTTCTTTTTTGCTCTTTTGCTATAATTTTACTACATGAAGATTATGTATTCAAGGCATGGCAAAAGGTATGTAAAGTAAATATAGAAAAAGGGTTTTTAGGGTTAATGAGGGTTAGGAAGGGGTTGGGCCAGGCCTGAGCAAAATTTAGGTCGGACTGGGCTTGAAAATCAAGGCTCGGACTAGAAAGTCAGGCCCGTTTGCACGTTAAAGAAATTCTGGCCGGCTTTAACCCTCAGGCTTCGGCCTGTTCTCTATGTCTAATGAAGGTAGGGTGGAATAGAGTAGGGTAAGGTAGGATAGGATAGGACAGGAAAGGGTAAGGTAGGGTAGGGTAGGGTATGATACTAACGTATGGGACATATGGGAGGGAGATTTTTTATTATCTCAGTCCTTGGCAATCATCCCCTCCCCCTCCCTCTCCTTGCTCTTGTAAATAATGACTATTGTTTGGAAGTTTTGTCATCAATTTTGATAATATACTCTACAAGAATATTATCAAAAACATACTACATATTTGTCTCTATAAACCAATTTCCTACGTCAAAACGGTCACCAAGCCTATAAAACTTTGCGAAAAACGTCTCAAAGTCCATTACTTTTCTCTTCGCATAACACGATTTGAACCTACAACAATATCCGCTCGGCTTCAGAAAGCGTCTTTTCCTATAAATTGAGTTTAGTGTCCTCCAATAATCCCATTTTATGGCCACACTTTATATATCTCATTTGGCCAAGTCTTTTCACACCTTTTGGCCATTTTTGGCGTCGATTTCACGCCAAAAGCGGTAAAAAATGTTTGGGCGTTTTCTGGAGACCAAACTCCTCTAATCTCGGTTTCGGCCATTTGGGCGGGGATTAGGACGGAAAAAGTTTATGGACTTGGGAGTAACGGAATGTAATTTTGGGTCGGATATGTTTTAATGTAAATGGGTAGTAAATTTTTGATGTAGGAAAATATATTAGGTTGTTCAAATAATTCAACGCCTCTTCTCAAAGCAAATTTTTAAGGATTATGGCACATAATTATTTGAACAACTTAGTAGCTTTATTTTACGGCAGCTGGACGGGATTAGACATAATAGTATGGGTAAGGCTTGTATGGGAGATAACAAAACTTTTTGACGTTTTCAGAATAAAAACTAGTACTGTAAGTTAATAGTATAGGCGTAAATTGAATTTTAGGTAAGAAATGTCAATTTTTTATAATATTATAAGCATAACGTTTGAAAAAGAGTACTTTTTGCATTTTTTGAGTGATTATTATAAAATTATAGCAATGAAAAAATATAAAATACGTAATAAACTTGTTTCCAGAGTTATTCATGTTCTTCATAGTGTAGTACAAACGATTATACATGATTTATGAGTTTGAAATTGGATTTCTTACATGCTTTTTATAAACTATTTTATGTAGTACTTGAATTTTTTACATGCTTTTTATAAACTATTTTATGTAGTACTTGAATTTAATGGTGATTTTTTGGGTTATATGTGCTAAATAAAAATTTAAAATAACTGCAAAAACGATTCTGTTACTATGCAGTAAACAGCCGAGTAGAAGATACGTATGTTAAAGGATATTTTTGTGAAGTAAACGTAGTTTGAGGGCTATTTCTGGATTTTTTTTGTTGTTTTTTGCGGATTTTTGTTCGAATTATGTCTCTCGTTATTCGGATCTTTTATTTTGTACCTAAAATGGTTTTTTTTGTAAAATACGCTGTATGGAGGACAGTTAAACTATTATTTTAGGCTAGTGAAGGGAATAAAGTTATGTACGTCAGGGTAGGGTAGTAGGCAGGGTAAAGAATAGGGTGTAGGATAGGGTAGGTTAAGGTAGTTCAGGTCAGAGCAGAGCAAGGCAAGGAAGGGCAGGGCAAAGACACGGCAAATGCAGGACAAGGCAGGGCATTACAGTTTGTTTTCCCCCTATAACTCCATGTGTCAAAACAGATAGTATCTTTTGCATAAATCAACATGTTTGTCTACGTATTTACTCATCCGTTTTACATCCGCTCGATTGTTGGCAGCGAAAGGAGTGGAAGAACGGCTTCTGGAGTCGAACTTCTGGTTCTTGTTATGGCTTAAAGAGCGTCATTTTTATAGCCATTTTTTGGCGCGCGACGTCCTTCGTGTGGCCATAAAACATTAGTGCAAAAGTGTTTGGACATTTTAAAGCTGGGCAAAGTGTTTTAGGCCAAAGGGTTTGGTTTTGGGGAAATATGGTAAAAGGTGTGGTAGTTTTTAGGGGGGGGGGTGGTTTCAATTTTTTTGTTTACTGGGCTTATGGCTGGGTTATTAAGTATGAAACAAGCCCTGAAAGTCATAAAAACAACATTCCCCTCCACTCCCATCCCCCCCCCCCCCTCCCCCCTCTTTTAAAAAACTCTTTAATATTCAGTCCGAAGCCAAAATATACCTTATGGTACTATATTATATTATTATATATTGTCCTACCCGAACAATCGGCCTAATGGATCGTTTAAAAAACGGCTGGTCGGAAGTGTGGCCGTTACCACCTTTAACGGCCGAATCTTTTGTTTTTGCGCCAAGGAATGTGTTTTGGCCATGGGCTTTGTCTTTGGCCAGGTGTGGTGAAAAGGCGTGGCCACAAATCCATTTTCTGTTGGTTTCAAAATTGACTGTCAGGGCGAATTCTAAAACAAAAATGGTCACATAATCTGTGGGGTTGTACTTTTTTTGAGGGTTTGGGGGGGAGAGAGAGATTTTGGGATGGATTTTAGAACCCAAGTCGTTTTTTATGGGAGGGAAGTGGGGTAGTTTTGCAAACAATTTTTTATAAAATTTTTTTGAAGGCAGAGGTAAGACAATTTGAGAAAGTTGGGAGGTTCAAAAATTAAATTTTGAAAAATTTAAAAAATTAAATTTTTTTTAATTTTAATTTTTTGTTATGTAGAGGACTGTGGCCAACCAAACTTCCAGCTTGTTGAAAACGCCTCACTTTCTTGAAATTTTAAAAAATTTCATTTTTATGCTCAATTTCTTTCCCTTTTTTGCCGCACGCCACAATTCCATAAAACGTTCACTTTTTGGAAACTTTGGAAACTAATTTTGAATTCAGAATTAGAAAAAAAATTAAATTATGGGACGGCACGACCAGAAAAGAACACTGTCTTTTTGGCAGAGAAATAAAGAAAAGGTGAAACGGCTTTTCCAATTTAATTATAAAATAACTGTTATTGTGGGAATGTAATCAAATAGTCCTTGTTTTTTGATGCGCATACGAAAATGGAAAATAGTGGGGAGACATAGGGGCTCTGAAGACCTGTATGGACTCCACAAGGTATTCTTGTTTCAATTTGTTTTCATTTTTTGAAGAAGTTGGGTTTAAAGGGGTATGGAAAGGATAGCTACGTTAGGGCAGAAGAAGTTAAAGTAAAGCAAGTTTAAGACAAGGGTACGACATGGTAGGGCACCATGTCGTACCCTTGTCGACATGGTAGGGCACCATGTCGTACCTTTGTCTCGGGCAAAGGTAGGGCAAGGTTGGGACAAAGGTAGACTAATAGTGGAGTAAGTTTAGCGCAAGAGTAAAGCAAAGATAGCGAAAGGGTGGGGCAAGTGTTGAGCAAGGGTAAGGCAAGGAGCAGTCAATGGTTGGGTAAATGCAGAACAATGATAGAGCAGATGTAGGGCAAGTTTAGGAAAAGGGAAGGCCGAAGGTAGGGCACGGGTTGAGCAAGGGCAAGGAATACTATGGCTTCTGTATTTTATTACAATTTATGTTTTTTGAATTTTTATGTTGATATTGCGTGTTTCATAATTTGTTTTTTAAATTTTCTGGTTTTTTAATAATAAAACTTGTCATTTTTCAGGCTTTGATTACATAGGTAGATTCACTTTGGTAACGTATTTCAATGTAAAATGGCATAGGCATCATGAGTCGATACAAACCATTACTTTTTGCTTTTCAGGCAATAACTTTTTGTTCTTTTGTTGTATGTGAACGTAAGTTGAAATTTCACTTTACTATATTATTTCTTTTACTTTATTATATCATTTATTTTATTGAAAAATTTTACTTTACTACATATTGTAACTGCTAGCTAATAAAAATGCAAAAATCCTCGGAACCACTGCTGTTTTTTGGGGGAATAAAGTAGTAAAACGAGTAATTGTGAAAAGAGTGACCATGAAGGGCGACGAAGGAAGTACGCTTATGTGACAATTCGAGACCTTAATTCGAGAGTACAGGAATGTGGGATGGGAAAGGAGATTAGGCCAAATTTGGGCTTGTTTTAGCATCGCATGGAGGTTATCTGATAGTTTTAGCAGTTCTTGCATATGGGTTATTTGATAAGGGCAGACAATTTATGATATAGAGCAGGGACGTCGCTACGGTTTTTCTCTGGGGGGGGGGAGGTCGAAAAAATTTTTTTGGTCCACAGATAGCTCTACCTGTGGACTGATTTTTCAAAAATTTTTTTTTTCGTTTTTCCGCGTACAGCTACACCTACCTGTGGATTTTTTTTTCGGATCGGCTCTGGGGGGGGGGAGTCACCCCCGAACCACCCCCCCCAAACGACGTCCCTGATATAGAGAGTTATTTTAGGGTGATATAGGGATCAGGTCATTTTATCATGGTTTTTATAAAAAGAGTTAAAGATTGATAGCATCATAGGGTACAGAAATCTATAGAGTACAAAACGTATTTTTAAATTAAAAAAAAGAGTTCAAAAAAGGCATTGAACAGCTTAAAAATGGCAAAAAACATCGAAAAAATTGCCAAATTTTAATAAAATTCAAAAAAACAAGCCTCTACAACAAAACCTACTTCGAAACCCAAAATTAAAATTTTTCAGCATCTACAGAATGTTTTGATCAACAATACACCAACCATATCGCAGACTTCCGCGCCCTACACACGATACAAAGGATAGCAGTAGTAGCCCCACTCAGTGCCTTCTATGTTCATACAGAGTTAACAGATGGTGTAGAACAGGTAGTGCGACGAGAGAATGGTGAACCATTGATTGTTTATTCATCAATCTCGTCAGCTAGTATCGATTGGCAATCGCTGAATGTGATGGCGAGGGCGGTGAGAGTTGTTCCGGTGTTTGACGACAAGGATAATATATCTCCTGTTATCATTGTTACTGCGTGCCCTTATCGTAAGTGAACTTTTGTTTGATGTCAAAAAATGAAGTTCTAAGCCTATTTTTATGTAAGGCCTAAAAATTTTTATTAATTTCGCTCCGAACTTTAAAAGGCATGAACGCAGTCTGGGAACGAGTTTTGCAGGCTGCGCACTAGCTTTTTTATTTTACTTCACAGTATTTTACAGAAGTTTAACTAATTAATGTCCAAAATTACTTAAAGGAGTATTTTACATTATTTTTGTCAATAAATAACGTAAAATTTCTTCGGATTTAAAAAAAATTGAAGTTTTTACGAAATTCAGATACCAGACCAGTATACCTCGATGCCCAACCATTCGCCGTTGATGCCTACCGAGTCGGACTTGTGTCAATGTATGAAAATGAATTGTCAGTAATATTTCGAACGTTTGAAGATGGTATTTTCTTCTTTTCTATGGCAGATCAAGGCGATATGTTGGTGGCACAGTTGGTTTCAGGCCGTGTGGAGTGTTTATTTGACTTTGGATCATTGTCACGGTAAGGTTTGGGGCTTCTGAAGACTTTTTTATATAAAAAATGTAAGAGTATATTGTAATGCGTTTTTTTAGAAGTTATACAATGTAAAAAATATTGGTTTTTATACCTAAATTACCAAGTTTTCTTGATTTAAACTTCAAAAATGTTACCTAAAATTAGAATTTTAACGATTTCAAAACTTTTCAGAGCCTCGATAACTGGAGGAAGAGCTCTAAACGATGGTGAATGGCACGAACTTCGTTGGACACATCAATTTGATTCCGTTCAGTTATTTATCGACGGAGTTTTGGTCAATTCCACAGTGCCGTCAGGTTTATATCGAAAATTGGACTTCAACTTTCAAGTGGAAGTTGGAGGAAGGCCTGAAGATCAATATTCAGCTGAAATCGAGACTAGCTTTCATGGGTGCTTGGCTAAGGTAATATTTAAAAACATTTTTATTGTTTGTTGATCAAAAGTCTTTAAGAAATGTGTAAAATGTTTAAAAAAACTAAAAAGATATATTCCCACTATGTATAATATGGTAAATATAAAAATTAAAATTTTAGGTAATGTTAAACAACGTTGATCTTCTCGCAATGGCCCCAAAGACGGCTCGCGACTGTCTGATGCCCAAACCTCAGATATTGTCCATCAGATCAGGGTCAGTGCAGATCCCATACTCTTTTCTGCCATTTGCTCTTGAATTTCGAATTTTGGCTGGACCAACAGCACTACTTTCAATTCTTGACTCGATGAATGGTACTTTATTGGAACTGAGGGTAGACGAACATAGACATCTGATTCTGGAAGCTGATTCTAAACAAGTCAAACAGCTTTCTACTCCTGGTAAGTATAATCTTCAACATTAATATAGACTTATATAGGTTATTTAAATTATTTAGTTTAGTACTATTGGTTATAGCATAACATTATAACCTCATACCATACAATATACACTGTCTTTTAGCCGTAGACGTAACCGACGGAAGTTGGCACGCCTTATCAGTAAAGCTCCGTGGAGGTCGTCTTGATGTTGATGTAGATGGCTACACCGTTCTTTGGCTTGAAGGCTCCTTAGTACGCAAGATTGGTCTTAAGATGACATCATTCAGAATCTCAGCGGCTGGATGTTTCAGATCAGCTACTGTTGATTTGAAGAGTGCAGCGATTGTCATGGGTGATATTATCCGAGATACCTGTGGTTACACTGACAAATGCCTTCCGAATCCATGTGAAAACAATGGCAAATGTTTGCAGGTTGATTTGGACAAGTTCAAGTGTGAATGCACACCACAATATACTGGCACATACTGTCATACTTGTGAGTTTTGAGATGGTTTGGGCGGGGTTTTTTGGAAATTTTGGGTTTTTTGATGAAATTTTCAATTTAAAACTTACAGCTCTTCTTCCTCGATCATGTGAGGACCACTACTTCCGTCGAAAAGCCGTTTCTTCCGGCTTTCCGAGCCTCTTTGGCAAGCCTAGACCACATTATTCAGGTCCCATCGTCAATATTACTATAGATCTTGACGGTGGAGGCCCTCTCAAACCCCTAAGGGTCCTATGTTCTCATTTCAACGACCATTCTCAATCAGAATCCACTGTTCTTGAACATAATGTTATTCAAGGCGTCTATGTTACCGGGCCAACTGAGCCTGGAGCTATTCGTCGCAGCTTGGACTATGGCGTTGATGGAGAAGAACTTGATCGGTTCATCGATGGATTTGATAGTTGTAAACAGTTTATGAGGTTTGAGTGTCAAGGTGGAGCTAAATTAATGTCGTATGGGCAAGAACGACGACCTTCAACGTGGTATGCGACCAGGAACGGTCAGCACGGTCTTCAATGGGCTGATGCGCCACCGTTCTCCCGAATGTGCTCGTGTGCTTTGAATTCAACATGTAGTCATAATAAGATGTGCAATTGTGACAGTGGAAGGGATGGTATAGATGAGGGGTATAATACTCATTCACAGTTGTTACCTATAATGCAGTTATATGTTGGTGGAACTCAACAGTCTAGCTCGGTTAACATCAGTGTTGGGCCGTTGAGGTGTCAGAGGAGACGTGAGTTTGTTTTGGAGCTTTTTCAGTATTTGTGACATAATTTTTAAAGGTTTTTTGATTTTAAAACAAGTATAATATAATTTTTCTAACCTTTGTTACCTAAAAATTCGCTTTCAGAAGTTTACGAGACTGTAACCTTTATCGACCGGAATCAAAACGTCGTAGGCACACAGTCCTTTGGTCTAGCGACCGTATTTGATATATACCTTCAAGTCCGCTTCTCCCACTCTCAAATGACAATATTTACCTGGGAATCTGCCAATGGAGAACGATGGTATCAGCTGTTCGTGAGGGATGGTAAAGTAGTGGGGCAGATAGTAAATGCAGGTCGATCTCATGAGATTGTTAGTGATATAAGCATTAATGACAACGAATGGCACACGATATATTGGGAGGCTGATCCTCAGACAACCAAGTTGGTGGTGGATAGGAATGAGAAGACGATATCAGCCTTCTTCATACTTCCTGATACCTTTACGTTTATATTGGGAAGCAGGACGGGCAGAGGCAATGCTGGCTATGCTGGTAGGTGTGGTAGGGTTTTGTGGTGTTGTAGTAGGTATATTGAGATTTTGGGGGAAAAAGCGGTAGTATGGCAGTAAAAAAATTGATGTTATAATAGATGAATCGAAGTTTTACGGCAATAACTCAATATAAGTTAACTAAACAAGTTATATACTGTTATAAAATATCACACTTTACTATGTTTTTGTAGTAAAACTCTAAAGAACAAGAAAAAATCTTACCAATTACCTTATTTTAGGCCAAATCCGAGGCCTATACCTATGTGGAAAGGAGATTCATATGGCTCAATTGGTGAGGAAGCTGACTCCAATGGGGGTTCAAATCGGAGACACGGGTTACTGTAGAATGAATAGATGTGCTAATGGTGCAACATGTGTCGAGTACTACGACAACTACAAATGCAACTGCTCGTTGACACCTTTTAATGGTGAACATTGTGATCAAGGTGGGTTTTGATGGTGTTTTGGACGGTTGTATTGAGGTATATAGAGAAGGAGTTTAGTTTGCAGTGTGGTACTATGTAGTACGATGTAACAAAGGTTTTATTTTTAGGATGATTTGAAGAAAAATTATTAAAAATGATATTGCTCTTGGTTAATATAGGCTAAACAAGATTAAAAAAGCCGTAAAAATGAAAAAAAAACGTGCTAAGGTATATAAAGCCTATAATAATATATAGAAAGGTAATATATAATAATCTTTCCAATCTTTTCAGAAGTCGGAATGTGGATCCCCACAGGCTCTGAGCTACAAATCCCATGGCAACACCCAGCTCAGGTCGCCACATGTTATCGTATTAACATTCAAACTGCCATAGCCAATGTTTCTTTGATGAGAGCGAGGGCATTATTCGCTGAATCTTCATTTAACATGTCAATCGATGTCAATGGGCATCTGAATGTGAGGATATTCGACGGATTCTTCTACACCAAGAACATCACTGATAAGAAGGTGATAATATCTGATGACAAAACCAAAGACATCGACTTTTGTGCTACACGACAGCACTTTAATTTGTCTGTAAACTCGGAGCAATTGTTTTCTTTGGAAGGCAACTTCACATTCTTTATCAATCTGAATCAGTGGAGACTGATTGGCTCGAGTAGGTTTTGATATTGTTGTTGGTTCAGTTGCAATGGTCTTTGGACAGTTTTTTATATTGTAAAGAGTTGTTAATCAAATCTTTTTTATTTATTTAAAAATACGGCAGACAGTATTTTCAATGTTATATATAATATATGTGATGTTATTGTAGTATATATATTGAATATATCGTTATCTTTTTCAGACTTTACTGGCTGCATATCCAGGCTTCAAATAGGTAACAGTTTTCCACTGAAAAACCCGAATAAGTCTAGAATGAAGTATCAAGGCAAAATCAAGTTTGGTTCATGTCCATTCGATCCATTGTAAGTTGATATAACATAATGAAAAATTACTATTTATTAGGTTTTTTAGGTAACTATTACGTGCTTTCTAACCACAAAAGTTTGGTTTGAGAGGGCACAGAATTATTTGAACAACTCAATATATTGTTATCTAATTTATGATTACATTTACTGGTATTGTATTACAATAATAGAAAAATGGTTTTTCAGACAATATCAACCAGTCGAAGAATTGGAAGAAAAACCCTCAGAAATCCACATATCATCTGTTATCAAAAATCAACAAAAACTGCTTATTATCACTCGTAAGTTATTTTGTTTCATTATTAAAGAGGAAGCGTTTAGTGATTGCACCGTGCAGTCGTTTTACATAAAATCAATTTTTAATTAAAAAAAAATTTTATTAAAACCTTGTAGCTATTAACTTTGTAAGACTTGTCTATAAGATTTCTATTTTCAGCAGCAATCGGTATAGTGACAGCACTGGTACTGGCTGGTTTACTATGTTTGGTCATTTGTTACATTCGCTCTAAACCAGACGGTGTATATAAGACAAATGAGAATGTGGTACCATACAGTACCAAGTCAGTGGAACCGTTGGTACATGAACATCCTTACTCTAAAGAGTATTTCTGTTAGGTTTGGTACCATACTAGTATAATATCAGTAAAGAAAGCAAAAATTAGATAATAATATATTAGGTTATTCAAATAATTCTGAGCTCTTTTTCAATTCACATTGTAGAGGTTAATGGGCACAGAATTATTTGAAAAGCCCAATATGTAGATAAAGTAGTAAATGATTACTATCTTTCTTTATGTTATCAAGTTGGTCTAGCATCTAGTGATATTATAGTAGCCTCTTTGGCTCTTCCTACCTCTCTTTCCCCATATTAATTTTTTTTTCTTTAGTATTGGCTATGTTAATATTAGTTTTATCAAATAATTCTGAGCCTCTTAACCGCTAAAATTTGCTTTGAGAAGGGGCACAGAATTATTTGAACAACCTATTATTATGTATAAGACATTCCCATCAGCACATAGGACCTCAAAAAACAATATTATGTTACTCTCTTCTGATTTACACTTGTGTATTACAATATTAACTATTATTTAGGTAATATTGATTATGTTTTTACTGTAATAATAGCTTTTTACTGCTTTACCGGTTTCTCTCTGCTAACTACTGTAACAAATCTTATGGTAACTGTTCTGTTATGTACATATTTATCTATATTTTTCGTTTTTAAGCTTTTTTACTATAGTAGTCCATGTATATTGCTGTAATCATCTATATATATTGTAGTAATTTTCTTATATTATAGTAGTCTAGTAACAATAACCTTTACTACGGTAATCGACCATTGATAGGCTTTAAAACTGTTGTAAATACGAAGAATTGCTCAAAAATTTATTGGAAATCAGGATTTTTAGGTAATAAACAAGTTTAATAACAATTTTTTGGACGAACAAATGATTTTTAAAGTTTAAAAGTTTCAAAAAATTGGGAATCTGAAGATTAGAAATTAATTATTATGGGACAAGAGTAAAGTTACAGTATTACCAATACTAATATATAACCTTACAGTAAGAAAACAAAAAGGCAAGTAAATGTACACAAGTATAAACCAGTATGTCATGAATGTCAGGTATAATAAGGTATGTTTAGATAACATTCCATGTTGTGTTTTATACAGATTAGTTTAAAAATTAATTTTTTTTAAATTACAGCATATTACTGTATAATGTCAGTAAAAGTAATCAAAAAGCAGATAACAATACATCCCCTTGGACCCGCCATACCTGAAGAAAAGCTCTAAAAGTACCTCATAAAAGGAATATATTCTTTAAATTTGTGCATCAACACTCCGATTGCCATACTAAGGACCACGGTAAACCAGTTTCTGCCAATCAACTTGAAGAGAGCCGGAGGGTAATCTCTTCTAGTCATTACGAAAGCCAGTCTTCTGTATTTTGATTTGTCGTACGGTGGGTAGCGGCTTCTGAAAGGTGGTTTTTAATCTGATTTACTGGAAAAAAAGTGTTTTACTTATATATCAAGTTGTTCAAATAATTCTGTGCCGCCTAACGCTGAAAAGTTGCTTTGAGAGGGGGCACAGTCTTATATGAACAAGTTAATAAATTTAAAAAAAGCTGCGTTCTTATAAAGTAAGAGAAAGAAAGATAAAGTAAACGAAGAACCTGTAATATAGCTAACATAAGAAGTCCTTGTTGCTTATATCGATACTTCAGAAAGTCATCAAAAAATAAAAGTAAAGACGCTTACTCAGCCAAGCTTTCAGCGAAGTATCCCTTCTTAATCACTGATTTTGAATGTGTAAACTCATCGAAGCCGAATTTTCCACGATATGCACCCATGCCGGAGTTACCACGGCCTCCAAATGGCAATGTGTCAGCTGAAATTGAACAAAAGTTATTTGGTTTTATCGTTATCAGTATTATTATATTTCTTGAGTTTTATATACAATCAAAGCTCTTTATTATGACACTCAAGAGACTGTTCACTATGACATTTTACAAAATAAATTTTTAGGCTGATAGTTTACCAGCTTCTTAGATATAATGGCTATTACATTATACTACTAGAAGCTGATTGCACGTATTTTACAAAACTAAAATCAATTCATAACCTACCAAAGAAGTGTATCATTAGATCATTAGCCACAATAGCCCCTGAGGGTATTTTATGTATAAACTGGTCAATATATTTCTGGCTTTTTGAAAAGACGTAAGCAGCCAATGGAGCCGGCCTTGAGTTGATAAATCTGATAGCATCATCAAGTGATTGGACTGACAAGATGGGAATGATAGGACCAAAGATCTCTTCTCCCATTAGTGGATCATTTGGGCCTATTTGGACTACAGTCGGTGGGAAATAAAGGTCCTCTCGGTTTGGTTTACCGTATTGTAACGCTATATGGCCCTTGGATGACATTAGAAGGTCGTTTAGGCGGCTGAAAGTTTAAAATTTTGAAATTTGAAAAAAATTTTAATGGCATTTTAACTCAAAATTTAGGTAATTTTAGAGTCTCCTTTACATCAAAACGCCATTTTTTGATATTTTTATATACAAAAACTCACTTAAAATGAAGTTCATTGATAATCCTACAGTAATCCTTGCTTTTCTGTACTTCATCTCCATAGTACTCAATGACGGACTTGTTCAGCTCAAGCAAAAACTGGTCAAGAATGTCAGGATGCACCAGTAGATAGTCTGCTGTGATGCAAACTTGACCAACATTGAGTAGTTTTCCCCAAACAATCCGCCTTGCCGCTATGGCTACATCGCAGTCTGGTAGCACTACTACTGGACTGAAATTTAAGTTTTTTAGTCTATAAAAATTCTTAACGCCAGAATAAGATAATGGTACTAATAGTACTGTTTTTATTGTTTTTCTGACAATATTTTAATATTTGCTTTCGAAGCGCAGTGGATAAGGGGTTAGACTAACGTGCAAAAGAACGTTGGTTCAAACCCCGGTAGAGAAAATATGTTTTAATTCTTTTTTAAAATGTAAAAACGTTTACAAAGTTTTTTCAGTTACATATTTATAGTTTGTGCTACCGTATTTTACCTTTTTAAAAAGTGCCAATCAGTAATTATGATGATAAACTTTCAAAAAACTTCAATTTTTACAAAAAATACTGTTTTTTAAATGAAAACCCAAAAAAAATTTTAAACATTAAAATAATTATGTATTTTAACTTTTTATTCAAAGCAATAAATAACCCACCATTTTCCTCCAAGTTCCAAAACACAAGGTGTGAGATGTTTAGAAGCTGCCTCCATTATAATTTTTCCAATTTTATGGCTTCCAGTGTACATAATCTTGTCAAACTTGTATTCCAGCACTTTGGCTGCAACATCTGGGCCGCCTGTTACTACTGTTATGAAGTCCTGTAACAAAGGAAGTTAAAAATAAATTATTTACTCAAAAAATTTAAAATTTAACCTTACCAATTCAAAATACTGTGGAATCAACTTCTTGACCAGCTCTGAAGTAGCTGGTGCATTCTCCGAACATTTCAAAACCACAGTATTGCCAGCAGCAATGATCGGAATCAATGGGAAGAAGCACATCAAAGCAGGGAAATTCCACGTACTCATCAACAGCACAGTACCATACGGGTCTTTGACGATTGAGAGTTCGTCTAGTGCATTTAGTACCGTTTTCTCCACTTTTTCTGGTTCCATCCATTGCTTTAGGTTTTTGATGAAGTGATCAATTTCAGTGATACATAATGTCAATTCAAGCTGCTTTGTGAAGCCATAGTCTCGTCGTAAGTCCTGGTAGACGGCTTGGCATAGAGCTTGTTCATTGTTTTCGATCAGTTGTTTTAGTTTGCCTAGCTGGACTAGACGGAATTGAAGCGATCGAGTGTGACCTTCGTTGTAGAAGTCTTTGTGGCGGGATGTGATCTGACAATTGTGAAGTTTATATATCCATAAGTTTTTTCAAACTTAAAAATGCAGTGGACATGTTAAAATATGATATTTTCTGAATATTTGCTTCTATTTATGCTTAAAAAACTCATTTTGAAACTTTTTAAAATTTTTTAAACTTATAGTAATTACGAAAGAAAGAGTGTCATAACTTACATATTCCATGTCAAACATGTTGTTTTAGTTTTTAACGTACTCCACTATCAACAACAAGCCTTTGGTGCACCAAACAATAGCAATATTATACCAATAAGCAGTATCAATACTAGATCAACACCAAGTCAATCAGTATCAATATCTCCAAATCACAAGCTCAAGTCGTCACCTATAACGATATCAGTAATAGCAATTGTTTTAAATACAGAGAACGAGGAACTCGGAGAACGTTCGCAGAATCGATTCATCATTCCTTGTAACCCAAATTACAATTTAAACGCGTCTTACAGTAAAAGGAAAACTTTGCTGTTACTTTTTATTGCGTCTGCCGTTTCACTGTAATTGTTTACAATTAACTCGGATAAATTATGGTTGGGCTATCATTTTGATAGAATTTATTGAAAAAATTGATTTTGAGTATATAAGGCGTTGAAAAAATAAAAATTTGGTAAATTTTAATAAGAAAAGTAAAAAAACAAAAAATTTTAAAAAACCTAAACAATCAAGTGCACGGGGCCCCGAAAAATCGAAAAAAAAAATTTTTGAAAAAAACGGTCCACAGGTAGCTACCTGTGGACGAAAAAAATTTTTTTGGGTCTCCCCCAGAAAAAATCCGTAGTGACGCCCCTGGGTGGGTATCAAGTTTTTCTTGAATTTTAAGTTTTTCATACCTCTTTCAGTCAAAGTAAATTAATTTTGAATCTATTATAACATTTCAAAGTCTTAATTTCAAACTTCAAGAAAAGCCCACCCAAAATCTAAATAAAAAGCCGACAGTTTAACACTCCTGTCAATTACAATACTTTCGGAAAGTGTCTGGGTTTAAATCGCCTTTTAAAAGTACTAATTAGGCGAGTCAGATTACCGTCTCTAATTTGTTTGCTGGTCTCGACTTTGTTTTTTACAGTAGAAAAGGCAACAATTCGAGTGAGAAAGAAACGGGTAAGTTACAACGACTGACAACTTATCGTAAACACTGAAAAAGTGACCTTTGTAATAGAGAAAATGTTAGTAATTGATTAGTTTTTGAAAAGTTTATTAATTTTGGGAACAGACCATAACAATATCATTATGTCTTATCACTGTAATGATTAATACATACAGTGATTTCGGACCACAGTGATCGTGGTTGCTGTTACACAGAATTTAACACAGTAAAAATTTTTGTAAATTTATTACACTTCGTAAATGAAATGAAAAACTGAACCAACTTTCCCAACCCTAGTCTACTTTACCTTACGTAACCTTACCTTACCCTATCTAACCTACTTTACCCCATCCTCCTTGTGATATGACTCCAAAAACCACTATCAACTTCCACTGATAAACTTGTAAAAACTAAAGTTTTTCATAGACTTTATCACTGTAATACTCAACCATAATTATGTCTTTGATAAAACAAACTTTTTTCATATTCTTCATATTGCTTTACACATTGTCATGCAATCAAAACCGCTGTAAATCGGTAAACAACCTTGAGTTATAGATAATAATACGATGAAAATAAAATTCAACGTGACTTTTTCTAATAAACAGCTACAGGGTTTCCAAGAAGCTCTATAATTTACTGCAAAATACTATAACTTATAGCTTTACATAAAATGTTGTTAACAATACTGTTTAACAACATTGTGAGTTAAAAAGTAGGCCTTTTACCATTATAAACCTCTTATCATTATATTGGCCTAGAAAACTTCCCTTGGTTTAAAACTTGGCTAAATAATTTTAAACTTTAGTCATTCTATACAACCTACTACTGATTTAAGTCCAAAGTACTACATTTGTACGACAGGTACGGAACGTTAAGATCAAACTATTTTTCATATCATTATTCGTATAACTTTACTAAAAAACTAAATAACTTCCTTATAAAATCAAATATTATGTTGTTCAAATAATTCTTAACTCCAAAAATTTGCTTTCAGAAGGAGCACAGAATTAGTTGAAGTATCTAACAATATTCTTATAAAATCAAATATAATAATATTACTTTTCACGATTTACTGCAGTAAACAAGACTATTTAACAGTGCTAATAAATAAGAAAAACTTAAAAATTAATCAGGAACACGAGAAAAATCACTAGTATAACTTTTCAATTTTCAATTCTAATAGAAAAACATAAAAATTCAAAGAAAAAAGAAAGAAAACCGTACAGATTTGGAAACAGTGTGACGGTGAGTATTCTCTTCCGAATACTACTACAATATAATAAATAAATAACTATCTAATGCAAAGTGAAGTTCGATATAAATATAAATATTAGGGTTTTCTCTATTTCGACTTTTTGTCATCCTTTTTGTTTTTGAATGTCTTTTTGCGTGGTACTGGTTCGGGCGCAGTTGGACGCGAGTTCCATCGGGCGAAATGGAAGCGAGCAAAGTTGTAGAACAGGTAGACTTGGGTTAGCAACAAGAAGATCAATGCATTTAGGCTACAAATGGAAACTTTTATTAACTAATTCATAAAAATGTCATTTATCAGCTTTTTAGGGAAAACGTTAGCAGAAATCACAAAATATCCACCTATGATAACAGTTAAAATCTGCAAAGTCCTTTTGATACCTTATCTCACTCAAAATACATATACAAATATCTTTTCATAACCAACTAATACCTAAATATCAAAAAATCACCGCAAAAAACCAAAACCTACCGAATAACATGAGTGTTGTAGTTCCCGGTCTCAAAGTTGATGTACGGGGTTTCGTGCGACCTTAAACCATACCACAATACCAACACCGAGATGACCATGCTCGACAACCTTACAACTGGGAATAACAAATTCCACAATCTGAAGATACGTCCAGTGTTTGTAGCTTTTCCTGAGAAGTAGACCAGCCGGCTGAGGTGAAGAAGTGATAAAGAAGCATATTCCAAGGCCAGTAAAACTGATGCTAGACGGATAAAGCTAAAATAAGGTAAGTTATAGTATGTAAATCAATATCCAAGTCATATTTCATTTTCTTTTATCTTTAGTAACCAGCAAAACAAACTTTTAAGCTTGATTTAACATAAAATTCAAAATTTTGATAAAAAAATGAATTTAAAAATAATATCGTACCCAATACCAACTATAAAATAAATTATCCAAAATTCTTTTAAAATGTCTAAACTTACTTAGCAAAGTAAGCGGCAGTGACAAAGACCAAGAAGAGAAGTGAATAGCCAGTTCTTTCCTTCATCTCTTCCTTCTTCAGCTTTTGGAAGTAAAATTCAGGGAATTGATGAATCCAGTAGGAAATCTAAAAGAATACTTATCAAAGACAATAAAATAAACATCGGTTTTAATTACCAACTTAATAATAAAAGCTATATCAACCAAAAAACTTCCAAAAACTTTTAAAAACTAATATTATACATGACCCACCTGTAGCAAGAAGAATAATTTGAAGTTCAGTGTAAGATAACGATGTTGTTCTGGATATCCTTGCCACAAAAGAGAGAAATCTTTGTGTACACCAAGTTCGTAAAGGTTGTATACAGCAAATCCACATGATAGAGCAGCAATTGGGCCTAAATGACACGACTCGGCAAATCTGGCTAGTCGAACACGGCTCATGTGTAGGCGACGTTGGATCTTGTCAACAATGTATTCTTGAATAATACAGTGGAAGGTGATCCAAACGACTGTGTAGAACACAATACATCCAATATCCTTTGATCCAGACCGATAATACATCTTGGGCTCTGAAAATAGCGATTGCATTGTAGTGTAATATAGAAAATTGATCATAACTCCATGAAACATCTCCTACACTTCATAATTTTTAATATTTTTAGCAAAACTATTAAATTTTGAAGCTTTTAAAGCTAAAACAAAAAAATTTTAAGTACATTGTGAACTTTAAAATTGGCATTTTATCCTTGAAGAGAAGGTATCCTCATTCCATTCTTTTGCCTAACCAAACCTAAAATCATAACAAAACAAATAAAGCTCTTACCAGTATCTCCAGTAAATTGTACAGACTCATTATGCTGAGGAATGACCATGAACTGAGCAAAAGGCAGCGACCAATGGAACATGAAGCCAATCACCACCAACATTAATATAACACTAGCAATATCTCCATGATTTGTTATGATAAACTCATGAGAGAGGATCGGTGGAGGTGGTTTCTTGGTCTTACTAGCCAGACGTCGGCTTTCAAAGCCCATATTTAAGGTTGTAACTAAAAATAAGTTAACTATAAGATATTATACTTGATTTATAATGTTGTTCACAAGTAGTCACGCACAATAAACAAGATTTTAGTTATAGTTATTGGTGTACTAGATAAAAGAGAATGCGAAAAACATATTTTCTTTCGAAAAAAACTAAAGTTATATAGAATTTTGACGAAACATCCATTCCATAAACAAATTATGCACTAAAAACATGTTTCGAAGCAAAAAAGAAAACCAGTGGAGGTGGTCAGTCGTGACGATAAATATTGTAATTCTGAATCTGGTTTCCACGTGTCCCGCGACAGAATTTTCCCGAGCAAAAGCATAAAAGTAAAGCGACTCGTCAAACAACACGTGGAGTATGAACACCTTTGGAATGAAAAATAAAGAAATTTCAAGGTTTTGGTCTTATTTCCGGTTAAGACGGTCAAGTTGGCTAGAGGTGGAAATTTTAAAAACGTTTTTGAAAGCGAAAAACAAAATTTTGAAATTTATTTTTTCGATCTTGACCGAGCATATAAACATTGCTGTTCAAGTTGTTATCCTTTGAGCCTTTTTTGGCCGAGAATTATAAAGAATAGCTATATAAAAACAAATATTAATCTTTACAACATTTTCTAACTACTTTTTGACCAAGATACTCAAAATTCCAAGCCAAAGTCCAAGTTTCCCTCGATGTCCAAGTGTTTTACCCTTAAAAAACCGAAAAATTCGCCCAAAATTTTGTTGAAATTCGATAAAAACAATAGAAATTCGGTGGGAAAATCGAAGAAAAAAGCGTTAGCTTGAAGATGAACATGAATTCGCATAAGGACAACATTTAATGAGCGGCCAAACAAAAAAAGAGGCAGGAGTTGGAGGGGGAAAGAGCTTTCGTTTGCAGTTCGCCCCCAAATTTGGAACAAAAGAAGAAAATAGGCTTTTACTCTGTAAAGGGCGACGGAAGAGAGACTGTTCTAGCTATATATGGGGAATTAGTGGGATCGTGGGGTTTTGAATAGGTGTTCGGATCATGGTTAATATGGAAAATCAAAAAAATTGAAAAAATGGTAAAATTTGTAGTTTTATCAAGAAAAATTATATTATAGTAGGCAAAAATGAGCCAAAACACAAAATATTTCAACCAAAACTCAAAACCTATTCAAACTTAAGCTTTCCAAGGTAAAACCAGGTCAACGGCGTAATAAAACTAAAAAAAAACAAATCAACTAACCTAACTATAATGTGGTAAAACAAACTTGAAGTATAATATGTGACAAACTTAATCATTGGTGATTAAAGCCCACGAAACTTGAATACAGTAGTTGTTGTGTGTGTGGTGACGAAACTAGTAACAAAAACATACGAAAAGAAAGGTCATGACTTTATTTGTGTTTCGGATAAGTTTGGAATTGAAAGAATTCACAAACAATCCCACTGTATATATAGAAATGGCAGCAAGTGGGTGTTGGTACATCTGTCAGCAAAGGTTTTGCAATTTTAAAATTTGAGCTTTTGATAGCTTTTGGTATAATAAATAATATCATTGTGTGGTTTTTACTGTAATTATGATTTAAAATTTCTTCGTATTTTACATTGTAAACTTGTATGTTTCAAATTGCTTTAGCCATATGTAGTCCGACTCTAGCCAAAGCCAGTTGTTTGCTCTATTATCTTATTAGATCCTTGAATCAGGGACCTCGGCTCTGGAATGGGGTAGATCGGGGCTAAATCCGCCTCGTTCCCGCTTCATCTCTAGCGGCGATCTCGACTTGAACATTGCCAAGGGTAAGATTACGGTATAAGTAACCTTTCCCTAACCTTATCCCAGATTTTTTCTAGTCTGGCGGTACCCTTGTCCTTACCATGTCCTAGTCCTAAGATAACCATAACTTTCTTTATTTTAGTCCAATCCTATTTCTATACTAGCCAGCTGGAGATCGATATAGTTAGACCTACATCATAGCTAACCGTATTCTGTTTCTAGCGTATTTTACTTCAGTAGTATCTCATTGTCTAGTAATGTAACCAACATCACCTAACTGAAGCCATTATTAACCTATAAACCCTTAAGCGGAATAGTAACCTATTGTAATAAGGTAATTACCCTCGGATAGATTGTTTCATAAGAGGAGAGAACAAGAGCTTTTCAGCGGATTCAGATTCGAGAATCGCTCGTTTTTGTCTTTTTTATTTACTTGTAACAAAACTTTTTGTATTTTTGTATACGACTGGTCACGTATGTTTGTGTTTATCGTAGCGTTCGTAAATGACAATCAAATTTGATTTCACTTGAGTTTTATTGGGTCGTAGCATATCTTTTGATTGTTTTAACCTTGTTTTTAAGATGACGGGTTTATTGGGCTAGACAGGGAAGGGTAAGCTATGATAATACAGAATAATATAGGGGACGTAAGGTAGGGTAAGGTAAGGCAGGGTATGGTAGAACGGTAGTTTAGGGCAAGGTGGAGTAGGATTAGGATAGGCTAGGTATACGCTAGAGCAAGGGTATGTCTAAAGTAAGATACAGTAGATTAGAGTAAGGCACAGTAAGGTAAGTCAAGATAGGGTAGGGTAGGGTAGAGTAGGGTAGGGTAGGGTAGGGTAGGGTAGGGTAGGGTAGGGTAGGGTAGGGTAGAGTAGGGTAGGGTAGGGTAGGGTAGGGTAGGGTAGGGTAGGGTAGGGTAGGGTAGGGTAGAGTAGAGTAGGGTAGGGTAGGGTAGGGTAGGGTAGGGTAGGGTAGGGTAGGGTAGGGTAGGGTAGGGTAGGGTAGGGTAGGGTAGGGTAGGGTAGGGTAGGGTAGGGTAGGGTAGGGAAAGGTAGGGTAGGGTAGGGTAGGGTAGGGTAGGGTAGGGTAGAGTAGGGTAGGGTAGGGTAGGGTAGGGTAGGGTAGGGTAGGGTAGGGTAGGGTAGGGTAGGGTAGGGTAGGGTAGGGTAGGGTAGGGTAGGGTAGGGTAGGGTAGGGTAGGGTAGGGTAGGGTAGGGTAGGGTAGGGTATGATAAGTTAGAGTAACCTAGAGTACCGTATGTTAGAGGAGGGTTCAGTAGAGTAAACCTCAATCATATGTCAAAGTAATACACTCCCCCCCCCCTTGTTTTTGTCTGCTCTTCGACCTCCCATTACCCTCGATCACCTTCAAGATCAAGGGATTTGCGTGGAATTAGTAAAAAGCAGGGCTCAATCCGGAAATTGGGTGATCAAGACAAACAAACCCTTTTCGACCTGAGGGTATATTCAGCTGTGTTCAAGACGAAAAACCGGATCCGAACGGGTTGGAGGGCATTTCCGGTCAAGTGATCTCAAATAACACCACTGACGTGAGCTTGGACGGTCTGGACGTTAGAATAGGTTTATTGGGTATAAATAGGGCTTAAAGTAAGGTAGAGAGGTGGGGAGGGGGGGGGGAGGAGAGAAGTAGTGAGGGCGGGGGGGGGGCAGAGAAGGGAAGGGGAGGGTGCATAAGTTGCTTTAAAGATAACATTGTTTTTTAAAATTATATTAACTGACCAATGAGTAATAAGCTCACACTGAGTCATTGTTAATATATCTCACGCAACTGTTGTCTAAGCAAACAACTAAACTAAGAGTAGTATATAAGCACCATCTTGCTCATAACAATAACCCTTTCTTTGATCAGTACTAAAGGTGTGTACCTAAAAGAATGCCATCACCTCGTTTTTTACTCTTATTGTACCTTTAGACTTGCTCCTACTGTACTCTTAGCCTCTTGTTGACCATAGGCTTGTTAGTTGTTGTGTTATCATTCAATCACGTAGCCGATCACTTCTGTTTTCGATCTCATTAATTTTATTTTTGATCTCGATTTTTTATTTCTCTCCAACAGCTGATTTCAATACAAATTTATTTGTCCAAAGGGGTTTTATTTGGCCAGATTTGAAACTTTTATGATGCCAATTAGTCTAGAAGAGAGATACATAGAGGGTACAGGGGTGGATAATGATGTCAGGTTGTTGTTTAGTTGTTTTTGTATAGTTTTCAATTTTTTTTTGGCTAAAAATAGCTCTAGGGCTAGGCACGGGAAAAAAAGCGGGCCCTGTCATCGAGCCGGACTTGAGCAAAATGAAGAAGGGACCAAGCCAAAATTTCAGGCCCGACCCTTTCCCCATGTCTAGCTAGGACTCTGGGCTAGGGCTCTGGGCTCGGACTCTGGGCTAGGGCTCTGGGCTCGGGCTCTGGGCTAGGGCTTTGGGCTAGGGCTCTGGGCTAGGGCTAGGAATATCTTTAAGGACAAGTTTAGGGCTAGCAAAACTGTAGTAGATCAAGACTTCATTTCCAACAAAACGACACTGTAAAATGTCAATACGATATTGCGACAACGCCCGTGTTGAAATTTGCTGTTACGTGTATTCGCAATCAAAACTTTAAACGTGAGCTGGCGCCCCAATGTTACCATTGTTACATTAAGTAACCAATCCATTACGGGCCCGAGTGGGCATTAAACTCTTACCGGTGGGACAAGTTTGAGACGAGTTAATGAACTCCATCTCATTGTCTTCCGACCGCAAAGCCTTTTACGGAACTCGAAGCGGTTTGAGGGCGTTTCCGAAGACAATAGACAACTTAACAATACCTTTTTCGAATCGGCCGGTTGCTCTCGAGGGTTGAAGCGTCGACGGAATTGCTCTCGATCGATAAATGTTTTTATTTGTTTGGTCAGTCTGACGTTGTTTTTTAGACTTTTTGATCGCTGATGAGGGGCGAGAGCTAAAGGTTCAGCGAGTCGTATCTTTTTTGATCATTTATTACGCGATCAACGTTTTACTGAGCTATAAATAATCTTTTAACGACAAGTATCTTGTTAGTAGTTTTATTAAGATACTACCATTAATTTAGTAACATGTGTGTACAGTATGTAAAACTCCTGTATAACAAACTCATCTGTAAGAAAGCCTTCTTATAACAAACAACTTTTCCTTCTTCAAACTATTCGCTACACATATGTTGTACTGTATTTAAAAAAATCAAATTAAACAGTAAAATGGCCGTATTT